TACTTACAAAGGATTTCCGAAAATATTTCGACAAATATTCTACAGGAGGTAATGAAACTATTGAATTCTTATCAAAATGGTTTATTAAAACAATTATTCGCAGTGTATAACATTAAAACATTCTCTGCAAAGTTGAGATTGATCAGGACAGCTTGGACAAAAAGTTGTTTGTTTTTTCAGATATGCTCGTGCCTCTGATCGGTCCATTTCGTATCTTTTATTTGAACTGTAGCTTCCTCGGTATCATCAACATTTCTTTCTTCTTCCATGACCAATTCTCTCGTAAAATCTCGTCAATAGTATCTTCGTAACATTCATTATCGCTAAGATTATATTTATCAGTATCCAAATCAGAATCTGACGATGTAATTTTATTTATGCTTCTCCTTCCGGGCAATCCGATCTCTTTTCATTATTGAAAAATAATAAGGGCAGAGATTTTAAGTTATACCATTCGGTACTCGGCAAAGATTCCAACTGTTCATGCAGGAACAGAAACAGATATGAATTAACAACGCACGCTTCCTATAGCGGCACGGGTGGCCTGTAGGAGATTTTGTTGTAAATACGCGTGGCAGTTAACGTGTTAATCGTACCACCTCGTCCCAAATCGTCCATTTTCGTTTGCAAGCAATTAAGGAGAATTTTCTGTATTCCCCGAATAAAATAGTATCATGAAAAGTCTCCGGATCAGATAAAAAATATTCCATTGGTAAAGTTACAACTCCCGTTTAATACAAGACGAGCTGCCGCTCGCTAACACGGACGCGATTCCAAAAGCGCTTCGCTCTCGAAGTAAAATATTTTATCGCGGACCACGCTTCGCCGCGATGATTCCCGTTCAGTGTCCACGCGGCGAGTAAACAAAATGCCGGTTTCATTTGTTGCAGGTCGTTGCAGCAGCGCCGAGGTGTCCGCCGGCACTCCGGATTCAATTTCGCGGCGCGGAGGATCGCGGGACACGCGTCGACAGCTACGGCACACCTGTACGTCGTGCTGTCGATGAGAATTAACACTGAGGAACACACAGGACACGCAGGACGTCTCGTTCTGCTCGACCAGCTATCCGCCACGGATCGTCCTGGACCGATCGATCCAGAGACCGGAGCCGCGCGATACCCGTTTTTACCTTTAATAGACATCCTTTGATCGATCGATCGGTATCCTCGACGGACTCTCGACGCGATCGGCACGAAGGATCGTACCGGACGATGATCTAACGAATCGTCGACGGAAAATGATGCTTTTGGGGGCCCCCCTTCAATCACTATGGCGACGGGGACGTACTCGTTGTTTTCGTAAATATTCTTTTGTGTTGAATCAAAGGAATGAATTAAGTCGATCGAATACATTCAACTGAAGTAAATAAATTAAATGAAGTTGAATTGAAGAGAAGTAAATAAATAAATTAAGTTAAATAGATTCAATTATAAATAAAAACAAATAAATGAAGTTAAATTAAAATAAATTCAATTAAGTTAAATTGACTTAATTTAACTCACATTAAATTAACTTAAATTAACTTACCTCGAATTAACTTAACTTAAATTAACTTAATTCAATTTAACCTTAACGTAAATTAACTTAAATTAAATTAACTTAACTTGAATTATCTTAACTTAACAATAAATTAACTTGAATTATCTTAACTTAACTTAAATTAACTTAAATTAAATTATCTTAACTTAACTTAACTTAAATTATCTTAACTTAACTTAACTTAAATTAACTTAAATTATTGTCAATGAAACTACGGATTTTTTCATATTTGAAAAATTGCAATTGATTGGAATGGAGAACAAATTTTGAACTCACGTTTTTCCAACCTTTTCGTCCGTACTCATAACGAAAATTTAAACAATGGGTTCTGAGGGTCTCTGTAAAAAAAGCCAAAGAATATTGAAGATGGGTCGCCCGAACGGCATTTTCCCTGATCATCGTACTTCAGTGAGATTGATAAGAGGACAGACCGCAGTTACCAAAGTGGGCCATTATTGTACAGTCTAATTAAGTCTGGACGCTCTAGAGCGCATGACGTTCTTCAAGATTCTAGTGTTCTTCTTCGAGGAATCCATCGCGAAACAGACGCGACGGTGAACAAGGACGGAATTAAGAGAGATCCGTGTCGCAGAGAGGCGGCCGATAGCTGCGAAATGGACGTTGAGTTACGGTCTTCGAGTACCGTTTACAAAATCCCTCGAGATCAGGTGTGCGTGCGCCGTTGAAACGTTCCGATCGTGTTTCTTCCGAAATCGCGAGCCCGTAAAATCGCGCGGCGACGAGAAGGCCGAAAGGTTTTGTTAGGTGAACACGGCTGGTTCGGCGCGGCCGTTGGATTTTATGTTGCCGCGAAGTCAATTTGCCTGCGGATGACGAGTGAAATCGCGGCTCCGTCGTTACCGTTTCTGCTTAACGAGCCGGATATTGTCTTCGCTCTCAGTTTTCGGCCCGCCAGCCGCAATAGGAAACATTTAACGAGGGCTCGAATGGTACACGCACCCTAATTAAACCCTCGATACGACCGCGCCGGCTGGGTTTAACCCAGATCCCGCCGGATCCCGCTGGTTTTAGAGCGAATCGAAGAATCTCGCCTGGAATAATTAATCACCGCCGCTCTTTATGCAAATCCCGATTTTTATGCACCGGTCCGCAAATGGTAAACTCGATTCGCCGACCAGACAATACTTTGCGGCGAAAACAGAGCTGAAACGTTGCTATTGTTTCGTTGCAATTTTCTTGCATTTTCAACCCTTTGCACTCCGAAGCCCCTTTTCTGATATAACAATCATATATATTATCACACAATGCGCGCGGGAAAGGTGTTAATATCTTTTCGAATATTTTAATTTCTATTTAATTTCGTTTTAATTTTTTAAAGAATCCCTCAGTAAAATCCTAAAAATCCTCGTCATATACCTGTTATCAAAATCTCATTGTCAATTTCGTAAATATTAAATGTTTTTTTTCTTATTAAAAAGAGTTAAACTCTTTAGTATGCTATTCCGATATAGCAGAAGTTTAATAAAAATAAAAAACATTATGCTGCTACGAAATCTTATAAGAATTAGTAAATACAAAATTTTTCGTTTTTATGCTTATCTTTTATTATTAATAATTTAGTGTCGCCGCATCGGCGCCATCGGAGTGCAAAGTTTGGAGAAATGTACATAAATCGTCACAATTACGGCACAGATTGTAAAATTTTACAACGATCGTTCTCCAACAGAAAAAATTGAGAAAATAAATTTGCTGCCTCTTCCAGATAAATCGGCACAGTCTTTGATCGCATAGTCATTTTATCGGTCCCCTAAAGTCAAACGCAACAACAGCATATCAACAGATTTTTGTCAAAAGTCGTTGTCTAGCTCTGGTGTATATGTTTAAATAAATACGTGATTCGATGAATGACTCCTATTCGCGAGAATACACTCGGACTCCTCGCGAAAGGGAATAATTATCCGCAATAACTCGGTACGTACATTTTCCGGTGGTTTAGCCGCAATTTTCTTTCCATTACCGCCATCTGTACGCTGCTCTCTCCTGCCTTTCACGCGTATCCTTTTTTTTCATCTTATCTGCCTCGGTCTCCTCTCTCTCTCTCTCTCTCTCTCTCTCTCCCTCTCTATCTGTTCCTCTCTGACGACCGTCGCTCCCGTACCAGAAACCGTGGATCTTCACCCGTGAAGTATTTTCTGGCTGAAATACCAGCACTATTATCGCGATGCCGAGGCAGTTCCCTTCGAAAACCATTGTTTTACAAAAATATTTGTCTTCAAGAGGGACAACAAAGCGTCGCTCTTGGAAATAGATCTTTACTTCGAAAACAACATTGGACGTTTCGAACATGTATCGAGAACACGCCGCTGGAAATGTTTGTCTTGTCGCTGGGATACACCGTTCTCAGCTTTCCAATGAAAACCGAATCGATCTGCGCAGAAACACAAATCTAGGGATTGCTATAGAATAATAATGGAGTCTTGAAAAATTCAAGCGAAATAAATTCTTCGAATAAAGTTTGATTCGAACGATATTCCGATGAAATTCTTCGAATAACATTGTACTCGTTATTCGTTATTCGAGCAAAATATATTCAATTCTGGTTCTCTACATTACAGAAAAGCCACAATTACCGCCATTGATAGCAATTATACAGGGTGTCCCAGAAATGTCTCGCAATCCGGAAATGATGGGTTCCTCGGATCATTTGAAGCAACTTCTTCCTTTACAGAAATTTTCTCCGACGCACCGTTAACGAGTTATTAACGAAAAACAGTGACCAATAAGAATCGAGTACGGCTGACGCGAGGCGGCTCAGCCAACCAGCGCACGAAGCCCAGTTCCGCTCATTGGCTCGGTTGCCTCGCGCCACCTGAGCCGGGATTCGACCGCTCGACCGCTGACGCCGTTGGCTCGCGCGAGCTTAGCTGGCGCGAGGCGGCCGAGCCAACGAGCAGCCGAAGCCCAGTTCCGCTATTGGCTCGGTCGCCTCGCGCCAGTGAGCTCGCCTCTCATTGGTCACTGTTTTTCGTTAATAACTCATCAACGGTGCCTCGGAGAACATTTTTGTAAAGGAAAAAGTTGCTTCGAATGACCCGAGGAACCCTCCACTTTCGGATTGCGAGACATTTCTGGAACACCCTGTATAAAAATTCACGCAATCCTCTATTAACTCGTCGAAAGCCCGCAACGTTCCAACGCGAATCGACTCGCGCCAACTAATTCGATGATACGCGATATTTCTTGGAACAATAACCGGCAGTAATCGGCGATCCGGTTTGAGGTTAAATCCGGGAAGAAAACGAAGAAACATGCCGAAACAGCCGTCCGCCGGGAACGTTCGATATTTTATTTCGCCCGAGCCAATTACCTTTATGCTCGTCCGAATCGTCGATCGGGAATTTCTCCTTTGCCATCGGCGGCAAACAAATTGCCGAGAATCGGCCATCGACGCGAAGCACCGGGTAAAAATCGAGGAGGAAGAAATACGATCGGAAAAACTGTTGGCCTTGAACCGGCCGCGGGATCCCTTCGACTCTATAAACCTCGTATAAAGGAGGACAGCGGAACGATCCGTGCGCGCGGATCGCCCGCGAATGTACATACGTACTTGTATCTACAGTTCACTCGATTCGATTTGAATTATTCTACTACCGATAGAAGAGCGGAGGGGAGAGAGAGGGGAGAGGGAGCGAGAGGGAGGGAGAGAAAGAGCGAGCGAGCGAGAGAGAGAGAGAGGGAGAGTAAGAGAGGGAGTGAAAACGGGGGATAAAGAAAGAAGGCTCGCGAGGCTGCGATTAGGCGACTAGCCCGTCGCGCCTCCGACGCCATTTTCTCCTTTTCATTCTTCGCAATAAAGGGAAATGCGTCTCAGAAGAGGAACGTGACCCGGGACAGGCTCTCCGCGAGAGCCAAGAAATTGTGATGTGCGAAAACGTATCAGAGCGAGCGTGGCTGAGGGGAAAATTTTATCTATACATACACATATACATACATATACATATATACATATATATATATTATATATATATTATATATAAATATATATACTAACGTGCACACATCGTGGGTCGGATTGTTACGCGCGTTGCGACAGAACACGCTGTTCCGGTTGTATTTGTTCCGAAAACACATTCTGCTCCGGCGATAAATTCACCGGCGGTAGATCGATACTACTTTTCTAGAAACATAATTGACTATTCGAAGCAATTTTCTTTTTGCTACACTCGACAAGTCGACGACTTCGAGGGCCACGGTATTTCGTACATTATCGTGTCTCATCATTTTTATCATACTTTTACATCTGCTTTCGGGAGATCACGGGATTTGGAATATTTTCTACCATCCACATTTTTAAATATTACAAAAGTTTTCTAAGACGGTTCATTGCTTAACGCTAGATTTACGGTACCCGTCAAAATGGCGTGTCGCTAATTTTTTCATTTACGATTATTCATATCGTGAGGATACATTTATAAGTTATTTATTCAATTTACGTGTTACTTACGGCAAACGTAACATCGTTTAAAATCATTAATAAATGCGTTAATAATCGTCTTATTGTTACTTTTACAAACTAATACGAAACAGCTGTTTCTTGTGCTCCGTAAATCTAACGTTAATAACGTTTACTAATTTGTTTCGCGTTTAACCCGAGAAAGATAACCTACGTCGCAGAGGCGCCTGCGAAGACTGTTGATTTTTGTTAATTTTTCATAGAGGTCTAGTGATTTAAGTTTAAAATTACTTAAAATATAAAAAAATATAATATAAATGCATTTTATTTTTACAATAATGCCAAACCTTTAAAATGACTAGATTAACTTAAATAAATATCCATTGTTAGTATAAAATTGACGCCTTGGAAAAGCATGCGCCTCTGAAGCGTATGGTTATCTTTTACGTACGTTGTCATATGGTTATCTTTCTAGGGTTAAACGAAAATATATGTTAATTGGAAAGAAAATTGTGAATATCATTACAGAACCTGAAGCAGGTTATTACAATGAACGAAGCATGCTTTCGTGATTATACTTTCATGATTAATTTTATAACATTTTTTTATCCACGTTCCTGTTCCCTTGTAGTATTTCACCTGAATTTTCCCGTAGACTCGTAACAATGAAAACGAAAAGTTCGTTAAAAACGCGAATTCCCATGAAAATAGCGTAACAATGTCTCTCTTCCTTGACCAAGAACGCGCGTAACGTTTCTCCGACCTCGTTTCGATTCGACGAGAATTCATTATTCAAAACGAGCCTTGGCGATGGAATATAAGGGAACGCGGTTTCCACCGAAATTCGTCGCTCCGCGCGTAACAATTCGACGCGTTATATAAATAGGGCCGATCAATCGCGATAAGATTATATTTTTATATGTACATAATGGCGTTCCTTCTTGTTATCTAACACGTTTAAGAGACAAACAAACGAAACGAACAAAAAAAAAAGAATCTCTCTCTATATACATATACATGTACGTATATCGAGGCGGTAGGTAGAGACGAAAAACTGGGCTCGCCGAGAACGGGGAGAACGATCCCGGACGAAAAAGCACCGCGAAACGGACGAATTGCTTTACCCCATGAATGTTTCATAAGGTGGATGGAGGCGCACAGGTAGGGAGCACCGATTTTCGAGAAGCTCAGACACCGAGGCTCCGGCACGATTGGTATTCGTCCGACGCTCGTAATATCCTTATTTCCCGCGAAAAACAGTCTCGTTTGTTGCCGATACCGGCCCCCCTTCTCCCTACTCCTCCCTTAATTCCCGACATTTTTTAATACACTCTGATCGCCGCTTTCCAGTTCAAACGGTTCCTCGGAGGTCCGAGGAACGCGGCAGACAATTTCATCGCAAAGAATTTCGGGAACGCGCCGATACAACGATCCGCCGAATCGGTAGCACGGAAAATAATACCCTTGATACGGCGCACTTTGATCGACCAATTAACTCTCGTTAACAACTTTCAGCCTTTGTACTTTATATCGTAACTTTCAACTCTTGAACAACTGATACGCGCAAACGCGGACTCCCTGAATACTAGGTCAGTGCTCGTTTCAATGAATTTTGACTTGAAACGTTAATGAACGAACTATGGAAATTCGTGAATTAATTGCGCAGCAAGTGGCCCCTTTTTAGTACACGCTGCCGAGGCAATTCATTTGCTTCGAGCTAGCAATTTTAACGCGGAACGACTTATTTATTTTATGTATTTTCAACGGTTCAGCGGGACGAACTCTCTGCGTGACAAAGAAAATATGAGAATTTTTCATTTTCTTTTATCATTTAAGATCAAAACGACTAGATGTAACACTGCTATCCTATATTCAATTTATTAGAATTATTAAAAATTCACGCATCTCGCCGATCGTGGTAGAAATCTTTTTATTTTGTGCAAAGACCGTCTTAGTTAATTGTAAGAAAAACAAACAATTTAAGAAGGTCTTGCTTCTTTCAATAATTGTGATAAGTTGAGAGTGATATAACAGTATTCCTGAATTTTTGTGTAATGTCGTTACAGTTTTGTATTAGGGGAACCGGAAAGTAATGTCGTTTCTGCTCATATTTATCTGTTTGAATTTAATGTAAACAAACGACATAACTTTCCGGTCCCCCTAATATTTGTGCCCATAATTATGAAAGTGGTCTAAGTCAAAATTTAAAAAAAAATGAATTTTTCACTTATTTCACACGACATGATATTAAACTAAATTTATTCAATGTAATTTTTACGATATCGTCAAAAATGAACCTTTAGATAGTAGTTGTAATTACAACGTTATACGGAATTCATTTAGTGTTAATTATGAAAGTGGTCTAAGTCGACATTACTATGAATTGATCGAAAATTGTAGAAAAAGAAATACATTTTCGATCAAACGAATGTCGCAGCCGGATTTTATTTCAACGAAATCACTTGAAAAATCAATATCAAGGAGAGTAAAAAATACCGCGGGCGAATCTGTCTCTTGGCTAAAAATTCAATGGATGAGATTCTTGAAAAATGAACCTTATAAAATGTTTTATAAGACTTCTTTAGATGATTCTGAATTCCAAGTTTTGGATCTTTCACCTAAAAGAGGAAGACCAAAAATATACGAAAATATTCAATTACTTCCATTATACAACACCACTAGACCAGTAACGGAAGAAAAACATAAAGATCTTATGTGTTTACTACCATACATCCCTCCAGTTTTTCAGGAACATTTTAAAAATCTTAAAAACTCGAAATTATGATAAAAATGGATTACTTT